AAAACCTGCATCCCGCCCCTCTCTGCTCCTCCTCCTGGGGTTCTTCCGTCTACTAGCTTGACCGGCTGTTCGGCCAGCGCCTTCAGCGCTGCCCCGAACTGGCCGGTGGCTCTGGCAAAGCCCGCCAGAGCATTGGAGAAAAGCGTCGGGGGGTACCCCCGACGCCCGAGTTCTACGCTGACAGATAGTGTCGTCGGGACCCCTGTCGACGGGTCGCTTGCATGCTGCTTGATCCTGTGGAGCGCAACTGTTACCGTGCCTGCCTTTGCGCGCTTCTCCAAGTATGATGCGAAGTCTTGGAAACACCTGAAGGCGAGGGGATCATCCACCGCTACTCCCTCATTCTTTTGCTTAGGTCGAATTATAAACTTGACCGGACCCGATAGCGCTGCAACCCTCGTCCCCATGAAGTCCCAAGAATTGGTACCTTCGTCTGTTCTCACCAGTTCAAGTTGTTCCCCATAAGTTCTTCCAAAATCACGGCATATGCTTCTCGTTGCGGCTATGCTCCGACAGTCATCCATATCGCACGCTATTGCCACCGTGACATCGTCTACTAGCATGACTCCGTGTATCAATCTCTGGTCCACCCCCAAGGAGCTTAAAAAATCCACCTCATGGTTCGCGCACAACACGCACGCCAGCGAGGGATTGGAATTCTTCCCCATGGGAATACCCACTATCTATTTGAGAATCATTTGTCTGCACAAAATGTACGTATTCCCCAGCTCGTAGCTGACCATCTGCCGGATCTGGAAGAACTTCACTGTTACATAGCCTGGGCCCGGACTCTTCCGGCTGAGGGTCACCACCCGACCCTCCTGCTCATGCTCAACTTGCCCACACCTCTCACCTCCCACTGCTGCAGCAGCCAATCAACATTCTGGGTAATCTCTCGATGAGGTAGCGACGTGAACATCTCCTTTATGTCGAAGCTCACCACCAGCGCCATTGACTTATCTTCGTATACGCTAAGCCTCCTCCCACCTTCCTCTAAGTTCTACTTCAGTAGCGTCGTGGCCTTCAGGTTAAAGTGTCTGACTTTAGGGACCCTCTCAAGCAGGAAGTTAAGCGCCCGTGCTAGCCTTCTTCCTGCAGTCTTGGAGCCCTCCGCATTTGCCGGTGCAATAGGCCTCCACCTCGTTAGGTCCTTATGCTTTGGCAAGACATATGCTCGGCCAAGCTCGGCCGCTGGGTTCCACTCCCCTAACTTATCGAGACCAAACTTCTTGAACTCCGTCCTCAGTCGTGCAAGCACCTCCTTCTCTGACTGCCCTGAAACCTGGTGGTAAGCAGCATTGAGGTTGAACATCATCTGGAGGCCATGGTGGTACGTCGCCGGACACATGATCACCATGCCTCCTGGGTTCCTATCCACCGGGACCACCACAAGGTGGTTCAACCTACATGCCAGCTCCCGTGCTCTTTCCTCCGAGCAGGCTGGCCTAGCCTCTATCTGATCTAAGACTATATCCTGGAAACATTCTTCCCCCGCCACCTGGTACATGTCTCTTCTCATTACCATTCCCAAAGACCGTTTCACCGCTCGCTGCACTTCCATCGGTTTCACTCCTACGCCGCTTTGCAGGATATTCTTTCCATTGTGCATAAACATTGGAACCAAAGAGCATTGCGCAATCCTTGTCAACACATGCCCTTCCACTCTTGGTAGTTGGTCCTTGCTGCATGTGCACTTCCCCGTCTCCTCCCTCGCTGTCTCCCGATGATTAGTCAAGGTCTGCTCCACCATTTTGTTCTTCTTCCATACCACCCTCACCCTGCGTTGCAGCACCGATTTCAAAATCGGGTGAACTTTGCTCTTCTCCACACACACGACCACAGTGTCATGGATTTTTCTTTTTCTCAACTTGTGGCTTTACTTCAGCCCCACTGTGACCTTCAACCTTATGTTAACTCCCGTCTTCTTCTTGATCACCGCTGCTATCTTATCCTTCAGGGACCTCCTCGTAGCCTTGGTCTTAAACTCCTTACCACATCGGTACAAGAACACCAGCTTCGTGATATCAAAAAACTTAAGCTCGTCCTGCTTCTTCGGCATCTTTAGCAGCAACCTCAGATAGCCTTTCCCTCTGCTCCTCGCACTCTCAGTCTTCACCACTGATGCCACTATGAACTTACCACCTCCCTCTAGAACCCACTTGGCTGCTTTTAATGGGATCTTCTCCTCTTCAACCACTACCGTTGACGTCCCAAACTTCCTTTTCACCACCGACCATCTCTCTCCCCACACTTCCCCGTCGGACGACACGAGCCCCACTGCCTTCACCCCCGCTGCCCACAGGTCCTCCAGGAGTTGTGCTAAGCTAACATACTGCCTTCCCTATCCCGCCTGCCAGAAGGTCAGGAGCCCTTCCCTGTGAGTAGCTGACAGGGCTCCCATTTTCTGCCTCTCCCTTCTGCCAGGCCTAGCTCTCCTTTTTGCCTATGCACTCCGTCCTACCACATCGAGCGCCGGGGAAAACCTGCAGATAAGCATCCTCTCCAGCACCTGCATACCATCTCTTCCCCCTGCTAATGGCAGGACAAGATACTTTTGCCACCCAAATACCTTCAGAAATGAATAGAGCTTGGGGGCACGACCATTGTTACCAGACTCCGTACACCTAATGTGCTCCCACCATCTCTCCCCCGCGCCACGAACAGACTGCCCGATGTACATTCTTTTGCACCATGGTGAAACCTGGCAGTACACCGCTGGTCCCCTGAGCTCAAAAAGGTCATGACCCGACGGCATAACCGTGAGTATCTTCCTGGCCCATGGTGCCACTCCGCTCAACACCAACAAGAGGAAAACGGTTATGATCACTTATTCGACATTAATCCTCAGGTTCGTCAACCCGTACGTGCCCCAGACGCTCTCTCGGAACCCCATGTACAACAGGAGCTTCTCCCAGAGGAACCGTGCTGGGGGGGCACACCGTCAATTCTCATGCGGCGTTGTACACAGTCCCGACCTCCCATCGTCCTTCTTACTCTCATCACTTTCAGCCCCGGTGAGCCAACCATCATATGCCACCCTTGCTTCTGTTGCCACCAAGTCCTTGATCGCTTGTGCCTTCGACACCCATCTAATATTCTTTACTTTACACATCCGTTTGAGCTCTGGCGCTTGCTTCAACTGCATACTCTCCCTCAGCTCGAGGACAAAATAGATCACCCCTTGCTTGGAGCTCGATGCCACCGCTCCTTTCTTCGGCTCTGCACTAGCTGGCTCTTTTCCTTTCCTCGTAATCGCAGTTCGCTTCTTGGTAATGGGTGTAGCTGCACTCCTCTCTCCAGCATCTGCCTCCTGCTGAAGATCATCTAGATCTATAGCCTTCTCTTCGGGTTTGGGTATAGTTCGGCCGTGGTCCGGCCACGTCCCTCCCCCTCTACTCGCTCCAGAAACCGCATCAAGCTATCTTGCAGCTTTGTACTCTTTTCCTCCGACACTGTAATCTTCACGTTCACGTGATCCTTGATCTTCTCTTCCAAGGCCGCCATCTCCTTCGCGAACGCTTGCGCCGCTGTTGCTTCCATAATTGTCTGCGTCCATCGTTTCTCTGCTTCCTCTCTCAGCTTAGCTTCCTCTAATCTCTGCTTCTCTTCTTCCTGCCTCTTCTTCTCCTGGTCAACCCTCTTCTTCTCCGCTGCCTCTAGCTGCTGGTTCTCGACAAACGAGAGCAGCCTGTTCATTCGATCCTCATCCTCGTTCCTTCTAGGCTGGTTGTAAGCGGCCTGTCCATAACTCCCCGATCCGTAACTCCCCCGACCCTGGCCTTGCCAACCTCTCCCATTCTGCCTATGTGGGCAATCCCTCGCGTAATGTCCATACTCCCCACAGTTATAACAAGCCCCTCCTGGTGCTGCCGGCTGGGATAGGGGAGGTGGAGGTGGAGGTGGAGGCAGAGGGGGTGTTGGAGCAGGGCTGGGTGTATGCGCTGATCCGTCGTAGTTCCCCGGATATGCCCCTGGCGTTGCCTGCGGAGGATACATGGACGCTGCTCGGTGCTGCTGTCGCCCTCCCCGCCCTTCGAACACTGATTACTACGTGTGCTCCCTCGCTGCTTGATACAGTTTCCACCTGCCTTCACGACTGCCCCTCTTTGCTCTCACTCCTCATGCTCATCGGTTACACGCACAACTGCTCGAGCTGGCTGCACACCTCACCGATCCATAAACCGGTGTCCCCTCCCACTCCCTAGCCTCGTGCCACTACCCGCGAGCTCTCCCCGTCTACTCTCCCTCAGTTCAGGCTGGCTATTCTGACCAGCTACCTTCCACTCTCTCATCCCCAGCTTCACCCCACTCTTCCCGATCAGCTGCCTCGCCATTACCGATCTTCCCAAAACAGTTGTCGAACTCCACCTTTGCTTCCGACCTCCGACCCTCGCAACAGTCATATGCCCACCTACGCTTCTACTAACACTTTCGTTTGCTCCCATAGTCCCTTTTCACCACCATCTTTTTGCCACACTCTCACTCCTATCTGTATCGCTACACTCCTCCTCTTATCCAACCGCCAACCCATCGCTCCGCCCCCGTGATCCGTCCCACCTGCCCTTCCTCCTGTTTGGCGTGCTGGGTTCCGACCGATCTTCCCCCTTCAACTTCCGCCCGCTGGTTTCGCTTATCTGACGCCTCGTCCACGCCAGCCTCCCGTCCTACCCTTTTCTTTCCTCTACTCTCTACTCGCCTCCTCCGTTCCCTCCTTCCCGCCTTTCCCGTACTGGTCCTTCTCTTTGTCTCGCATCTTACTCGTACTGCTCGCCTCCGCAGTCTTCACCTACTTGGCTCAAGCCGCCCATCATACACCCTCACCTTCCTTCCCTCCTTCGTTCTTTCCTCCCCGCCTTTTTCAATTGCCCCTTCTCATTACTTAGTGCGTCACGTCTCCCCGGGAGCTCCGTACAGGACAGCTCAACCGAGCTACTCACCACTCAATATTCCCTGACTCAGCATCAGTCCTCGCATTGCTTATCAGTCCTCCTTTGATCCCCCACGTCATCAATCACGCTCTGCCAAGTGGAGGGAACCAGATCCTCCGCTAGGTCGCTTCCCTCAAAACTCGATCGCCCGTTGGGTTACTTACCTCTGCACCCGACCGCTTCTCAGCACCCACGCCAAACGCTACCCCGCCCGTCGCTCATTCCCGGTAGCCCACCCCGCTCGGTCTTCTCGACTCCTCTGCCGCTCGCTCGTATCCCACGAGATTGCAAACTTCGTGCTCCACCCCTCGCCGGTTCCCCGCTGCTACATGGAAAACGGGTCATGCGCTTCCAACCCCTTCGTTCCTGAGCTTGCAACCACCCACCCCTGCCCATTGTGAGCGTCCGGTAGTCTAACCTCCTCACATCCCGATCACATTCCCTTCCTCACTCCCGAACCTGGTTCTTTCGACGACGTGTCTCCTCTCCCGCCTCTGGCTCCCGGCTTGGAAACTCCACTCAGCCCCTCCCTCGCTTCCGCCCCGTCCTTGACACTAACTTCGCTCTGCGCTCCCTGATAGCGGGTCTACTCTCCCGCTTCCTCTCCCCTTTCTCTCCCCCTTTACACCCTATCCTCCACTGCGTCCACTCGCATTCCTCCACTGACTCTTTGCTTGCACCTACGCTCCCTTCCCTTCACTCTACTCTCACTCTCTCGTCTATGCCACGTACTCTCACCGCTCTTCAACCATACTGCTTCGCTTACCTGCGCAACCGATGCAGGCACAACCACCAAGACGAGTACGAACGCTCGCATGGTTACTACGCATTCAAGAATTGAAATAGCGAGGCCAATCGCTATGCGTCCATGTCACAATGATAAGCAAGGAGGCACCTTCACGGACTACTAGCTCGACGCGCACATTCCCCGACGCGTTTCGCCTGGCTGCACACCAGGACTTATCAAGGGGCTTCCCACACTCCCGCATCCACCGAAGCTTACCGCCCAGAGCAAAGAGGGCCGTTCTGGCCTTGCCCTCTGCACANCACCAGGACTTATCAAGGGGCTTCCCACACTCCCGCATCCACCGAAGCTTACCGCCCAGAGCAAAGAGGGCCGTTCTGGCCTTGCCCTCTGCACATATACCCGACACACTCACTCCACGTCCGCTCTGCGGACTTACACTCTGTAACTGACTGGGCGGGTGCCGACTCGGCTCACTCGTAACTGACTAGGCATGCCCAACGCTCGCCCCTTTCTTCCCGCCAACCTCACGTGTGCGCCTCCCTCTGCGCCAGGTAGTTCGATCACCACGTGCACCGGTCGACTGTAGGAGCCTACGTTGTGAACACGCTACCGGCCTTACTTTTTCGCGCACCTGGTCAGCTTTTCCCTCCGGGTACCTGCGAATCTGGTTCACCCCCCAGTCCCTCAGCTTCGGCCCTGCTGGCCCCCGACTATTTCGGCCTCTCTCTCAACTATCCCACGTCACGTTACCCAGCGCTATCCTCCCCCTGCTATCTCTCCCCGTGCCTCTCCGCGCCTCCCCGTTTCCACCTTCGCTTCTACTGCCCCACTCCCCAGCCCTCCCTCCCTAACCACCCCCGAGCCTCCCCATTCGCAATTAGCGTACAGCCCA